AAGAATGTAGGCCAATGGAACTCAGATTGTAGGACCTTTACAGTAGTCCTCTTTCCTCCAAGATTCTCTCCACATGAATTTGAATGATAGTTTTCATCACAATGATAGTAGTAAACTCCATGCATGAACTTGTTCTTTCCCTAACTATTCAAATTAGGAGACAAAATTCCATTAACAAGAAATTTAACAATGTCAGCACACCACGAAATTGCCGCAACAAATAATAATTTCTTATTACGAAATACCTCCATAATTTCTAATTCATTCCTTAGTTCCTTTATAATTTCAAGCCTAGAAAGATGGGAAACTACTTGGTTTTTAATCATAGGAAAATTCTCATGGCATCCAAAATGAACATGTTTAAGGGGTAAAGGTAAGGGCTTTAGTTCTAAAGTGGGTGGATACTAAAGTGAGGGTTTGAGAAGAGTATATTTAGTGAAATTCAAGGGTTCAAATTATGTACCTGGTCTAGCTACAAGTGATATATATTGTTGCATGTCCCTTGAATATTCTTTGTGCTACTCATCATCTTCATCATCAAGCTTCAAGCAATCATCAGTGCGTAAAACATTGTTGCAGCAAAATTCTACATCTTTATCTTTCATCATAGATTCTACATCTTGAAGTGATTGATACTCCCTAGAATCATCAGCATATTTGAGAGTGTTGAAGACATTGATAGTTACCCTTTGATCATGCACTCCTGTTGGTGGTGGTTTATCTTTTGTTGTAGTAATATTCTTCATTTCATCATGAGATTCACTCGTCGAACCCTTATCATTTCCTTTCTTTGAAGGTAAGTCTTCTTGCATCTTCGAATCTTCATGCACAATCTCATGATTGGGTTCTTTGGGTGTCTCCTCCCCAAACTTATCTTCTTGGTTGATCTGGATACTACTCCTTAAAGTAAGTGTACTATGATGCTCATTACCATGCACCTTAGTGATTTCAGTATCAACTAGGTAGACTACCTTGTGGTCGTTCATGTAATGCTATAGCAATTTGATCCACTTGGGTTTCTAAGGCTCTTAAAGATGAACTATTGCTATACAACAATGTTGATTGGTTTTGTAACAATATGCCTTGGGTTTTAATAGATGACGAGTGTTTATACATCAAAGCACTCATGGTAGCCATAAAATCATGAAGAGTAGCTTCAAGAGAGTTAGTATTTGATGAAGAAGCTGAATTTTTGTTCACATTTTACTACGAAATTTGTTGTTTTGAAAGCCTGAAGGTTCAGTAAGATTTTGCTACGGCCTATTCGAACTGTTAGCATTATTGTAGGCCTCTTGATTACCCATAAAAAGTTAGGATGCTAACGACATCCTGGGTTGTAAGTGTTTGAGTCGGGGTTATTACCTCGATTAAAATTACCACATAATTGATAGACTCTTCATAGTGAGGGCATTCACTCTCATGATGATTGCCACATCATAAGAAACATGTTGAGCTAGCTATTTTTACTTATTTCAGATCGCTGGAACATTGCAAGTTCGTCAACATATTTGTTATAACAAAACATTGGGCGGAAACTGAATCCTTAGCATCCAATTCAAAAATCCCAGGAGCTTTTCTCCACGTTCATAGCCTAGAAGAAGAGAATTGATAGTCGTTATATGCTATCTTTTCAAGGATGACAAATGCTTATTCAAGTGACTTGTCTAGAAGAGTATCAATTTCCACAACATCTAGCATTATCTTCGTTGGAGCATTCACATTATGGTAGACCATAATAACTTTCATCCAATCATGGATTTCATGGTTCGTGCAATGATGTATGAGTTCCTTGTATCTATCCCAACACTCATACATTGACTTGTCACCAGCTTGACGAAAGAAAACAATGTCACTCCTAAGTTGGGCGTTCATGTTGGGTGGATTATGCTATAATATTTTTTGCACAAGTCTGACCATGATTTTATCGAGTCTCCATTAAGAAACGCCCTTGCTTGATCTCTCAATGAGTATAGAAACAACTTTAATTTCAGCACATCCTCATACACACCTTATTGTCGAAAGGAATTGTACACCTATAGAAATGCTCAAACATGTTGCAATGCATCCTCACGAGGCGCACCAATAAACTATCCAATCAAGTCCAACATGTCGAACATTACTGGTTTGAGCTTGAAGTGCACTTCCTGAATCTCTAGAGCTACAATACCAGGTTTGAGGATGACCAAGGTGGGTGCTAAATGATCTCTAATAGTTAATGGTTGAGCTATAACCCCATCACTACGAATTACTGCAACATTTAGAACTGCAGGATCCTCCACTTGATTTTGAACTATATGAACCTCAGGTTTAAAATGAAATTATGGTTCGTTGGGTCTTTTACGGGTCATGCGACAACATAACATTTGAAAAAGGTAAACACAAAAACATGTAAATATGTGAAAAAAGAAGTAATAAAATGATGCAATAACTAAACTCAACATCATCAATTATCAATCACCGATAACGGTGCCAAAAACTTGTTTGCGTAATATGAGTGCTATAAATTACTCAAAAATATGAGTAAGTATACACAATTGAACAAGTAATGTAGTAGTGAGTGAGTGAGTATCCACATGGATTGAAGGGATCTTGAGTAAAGTTTACACACTATTCTGAAATAACTAAGTATAGTTAATGTGGTATGAACAAGTAAGATGGAAATGTTGAATAAAATGAATTGTACATAGATAAAATTGCAATGGATATATAGAAAGGTAACAAATGGAAATGTTGTGACAAATTGAATTGTATGCGGGTGGAATTTCAATGGTAGAGTGGATGGGAGGCGGATGAAAATGTTATGGAAAATCAAGATGTTTAGAGTGTAACCAATTAAAAATGCTAATGCCAAATAGATTGAGGATTTGGGATAAGTAAGATAACTTAACAATCCACACACAAACAAGCTACAATGAGAATGATTGGTGGGGTCACTAAGGAATCCTAAGCCTTGTTTATTAGAATGATTCAAGCTTTTATGGCCTATTTTCTCAAAAAACTTTACTAAAAGTGTTCCTATCCTATCTCTAGTCATGGGACCTGACAGATAAAAATGCCATGGCAATACCTCTCTATGTGAACAATAACATTAACCTTATCGAATAAGTTTTACACCTTTTAGTCGTTAAAACCATATCCTTATCTCTAAGATGGATTAGGTCTTAGTTAGCAACTAAAACCCATTGATCACATTAATCCTCCCTTAGTTTCTCTCGAACACTAAGGGTGCGTTTGGTTCATGGAATGTAGCATTACATCCGGGAATGAGATTACTGGAATGTAACATTACTTGATACATTAATGGGAATGTTACATTACTATGTTTGGTATGTTTGGCAGGAATGTATGATTACAGTGTTTGGTTGAAGAAATATGAGATTACTGGAACATATATTTTACCAAATTATCCTTGTTCTATATGTGTTAACAAGTGTAATTCTAAATATTTAAATGAAAAAATTTATATAAAAAATCATCAAAAATATATTACTTTACTATTTTAAATTTATATACTTTTTAATAAAATTTATATATAATTTTTTTTATAAAATTTAAAAGATAAATTGGTAGAATAAAAGAGTAAATATATCATTTATTATTTTAATAATAAATAATATTATTTTTCACATTATTTATCTAAAAATCTATATTAAAATTTTACATCAACATTTAACTAAATAAGCATATGAAATATTTAATAGATGAGTCATTTTACTCCTGCCAAAATGTAGGATGATGCTCACTTATTTTATTGAATTCTCTGTAAATGATAGTGTGTGTATATGTTATATTTAAATTCTACAATTCTACCTTGCAATTATTTGCATAGTCAAGTAAACTTTATTTATTATATTTGTATTAGAAAAATAAACTTGTTGGTTCTTATAATTTTTTTATGCTTTATTAAATGTTAGCACATTTTTCGTTTTTATAATTTAAACATTTTTCTCTGTAAATGAGAACAAAACATCATACAAAACAGATTCATTTTATTTCAACAGCAACCTATTGACTTTGCAAAACCCTTTTTATTTTAACACAGCAAATTCATTTTATTTTGCACACAATAATAAACAGAATACAAAACATGTGGTATTCTTGATACCCATTACGATGCAACATTTATGAAAAACACTTGGAAGCAATAAATTATTTTAGCAATTTCAGATAGATTGATAGATAACACTAGCAAGCAGCATGCAACAGTAGAATGAAAAGAAAAAGTGCAAACTGAAATATAAGAGATAAGCTTACATTATTTCTTTAGCTTACAGAACAAAAAGAAGTATAACATTAACCATCAAAAGCAACAACAATGTTCAGACTTACAAAAGATAATGGCCATGACATTATAAAATTAATCATATATGTTGGCTATATTATATACACAACTTCCATTGGACCTTCAAGTATTTTTACAAGATGACTTGCCATGTCCCATAAATACATCTTATGCTCTCCTTTGTCAGCAAAACCAGTTAATACCCACGCACCGTCACCACTGAAACAATATGCTTTCCAATGGATCTTCGTGATTAAATCTTGAAAATCCCAAAAAAGAATCAAGAATTTAGATCTAACAACCTTTAGCTTCTCAAGTGTGTTAAAATCCAGTAAAAAGAAAATGACAGTGTGCTAAATTTTTTCTGAAGAAACAATACCTGGTGGAGCAATGCTAGAGCATGAAACTGCACAAGGGCTGCTCTTGATTGAACAACTTCTTAAACCTCATTACTCCATCTTTTAACAATCTCAGGGTTTGTCTGCCCAAATGTTTTTGACATGTTAATAAATGACAAATGTTTTGATATTAATTTAAAAACTACGCGAGCATATTTGTGTGTGTAAAGCAACCCTAAGAAAACTATTACTTGCAGTAAGTGGATACTGATGACTAAGGCTGCACTTGCAACAACTGGGTTTTTGTCAGCAATTGCTTGTTTCAAGTATCGTTCGATCTGGGTTAGAAGAGTTCCATCTGTTATCCGACAAAGTACACAGATAACATTTGCTCGACACATATCAGTCTTGCTAGTCATGTCCTTCATGAGAGAGCTTGTAACAATAATAACCTATTATCATCAAGAGGAAAGATTAATTAGTATCAAAATAAGCTAACATGCATGCACAAACACACAAAAAGTTATTCAATGAGCATGGAAAATTCAAGACATATAACATCATCTGCTGATGGAGATAGCTCCTTTATCATCACATGAACCATTCTCCTCAAACCTATATCCTTTGATTGGAACAACTTTGTCATAGAAAAGAAACCTCTGTCGCTTCAACCTATTTGTATAAAAAAAGAAAATCGTCATTCACATTATGGTAGAGCACATTTCCTTCATTATACATAACCATAAAAGAAATACATACAATATAGGTTAATTGTAATTCAACAAATAAAAAAAAGATTTGATCCTTTCGTGTACAATTAAAAAAGAAAGACCAACCTTAGTGAATGTTTCTCCTTGGTTCAGTAGATAAAGAAGCTTTGTGATAACCTGAGAGCATCTTCGAGGATCAAGCTGAGGATCATTGAAAACTCTAGTTTCTTGAAGAACATCGTCCTTCTCAATCCCAAAAAATAGAGAGTAATCCACAGTTTAACAAACGAAATTGCAATAAGAAAAAACATTCTCTAAACACCTAAAAGCTGGAAGAACTCAACAACATTACAAATAGAACTCGAACATAATGCATTCATAAAGCCTCGAGATCCATTACTGGCATAAAACATAAAAACCACAAACATATACACGATATGAGAATTACAGGCATGATTTTCTTAAACTCATAATCGCAAGTTCGCACAAAAAGGGTCAAAAGAGTGATACTTAAAAATACCAAAAACAACAATTCATCATCATTTCCCCAGTCAACTAAATAGCACACATTTCAGCTATAAATAAACTTATCAACTTAAACAGAAATTAGGAAAACGAGTCAAATGAAAACTTGGAAAGAATATAGAACATAAGCAAATATTGTTTGAGCAAAATTATATATAAGGGAAAGATATCGCATTTTCCCTGTTTTTTTTCTTCAAAAATAGTGCTATGTTTATTAACAATTACTGATGGATTTTCTTTCCCTCCTGTAAATTGTAGTTAACAATAGAAACCAAGTAAGCTTTAACACCAAAAGAATATAAATTGCAACTCCAATTAGCTGAATTCGCTAGGAAACACTCACCCATTTGAGAATAAGGGGGAAAATATCACTTCAATAAAAAAATTCTCAACATACATAGTAGTTAATTTCTTTTAAAAGAATAACAGAGGGATAGAGAGATATATATACCAATGAGAAGGGTTCCACGTCAATTAAAGGCAATTAATTTCATAACCCCATGCTCCAAATACTCTTCACCTATGGGAAATCTCCTTGCAATGGATCTTCTCCAAATCAAACCCAGTTTTAGAAAGCCGAAAATAACAAGAAAAAAAAGTAATTTTTGAAATGAGAGAAGAAGCCTTATCAGGAGAATCACGGGGAAAACCACGAATTTTTTTTCCTTCACAGAGGCAAGGTCACGGGGAGAAGACGATTAGAAAGGGTATTTTAGCTCTTAAGTATGGGAATGAAAAAATAACTAATTCAATTGTGGGAATAACATTCCCACTAATAAACACACAAAAACTTACTGTTGGCATTGAGATATTACCCTCACTTGGGAATCTTGTTCATCCAAACATGGGTATCTTAATCAGGAAAAAAATATTCCTCCCAAGAATGATGAAATCCTTGATCCAAACGCCCCTTAAAGATCTTTTACCTAGATTATCTTGAACACTAAGTGTTTTACCTATGAAATGGCTACTCTCATAGCTTTTATAATCCTAAGTAATTAAGCACAATGAGCAAAGTAAATACTAAACATAAAAACTTAAACCATTTATTAAAACAAACACTTAATCATCCATAAATAACCCACACCAAATAAGGTTAGTTCATGGTGGGGTACAAATCATCCATGGAAATAATTTGTTCCTTACAACCTATAAAATAGAAATAAAAATGAAAGCATAAGGATAAAGTAAATTCCCAACACACGCGTCGTTGTGAGCTCCCTTGGGCCACTGTGAACCACTTTAGCGATGCTAACTCCTCTTGGATGCTTAGCTCGCCACGGCATTGAGCTTGGATATGGATATTACCACCAAGAAGATGAAAGGGCGAAGAATAATGAAAGCTTGGAGCCGCCTTTTCACTCTTTCCCACCCCACTTTCCCCCCCAAAAGAATACTCTTCTATTTTTGTGCCCACTTTTTCTATTTATACTAGGGGAATGTCCAAGGTTTTAGTGCAAAAAATTCCTATAGTACCCTAGGGTTCATTCCACTCATGTGAAAATGGGTACAAAGGTAGTAGTGGTCCCCTCATTGGTGGTTAGCGGTCGAAATCAAGTGAGTACTGGACAACTGGCACTTTGATGAAATTATATTCAACTCTTTTTATCTTTTTCTATGGCCAGAAACACCATCCTAACCATCTGAGAATGCTGCGGAAAATCTCCTCACTCACCCTTGGCTTCAGTATCTTGCACATCATCAACAAGTAACACCATTTTCAAAATAAAATTCCACGGCAAATAGAATCTACCAAATGAAATAATATGCTCCTAAATTCATCTATATGAACATACATGTGCCTTAAAATCAACAATAACTTATTTGAAAAGGCTCTAAATATAGCCTTTTTTATGGAGTTATCAGTTGTTCATGAAGTAAAATGATATTACAGAAGAATGCACGGTCAAGATTTGGATAAATGACATTCAGAATGCGCATTGTCAATCCACCTCCAAGAGGTAAATAGCTCAAGAAAACTAAAATTGTAAACGGTGGAGAAAAAGAAGTTGACATCAAATTTCCTTTTTGGTCTAATGACTCTATCACAAAAAATTGGCGAAACCTACGACCATCATCGTTGGATTCAAAGCCATAAGACTCAAAAGCATCAAAAGAGGTGGATGATTGACAGACTCTAGGACGTTCATGGGATGTTTTGGGAGCCATTTGGGTGATAAAAATAGTGGCTAAGATAAGGGTTTTTATTGGGTAATTTAGCTGAACACTATGTAGGCAGTCCTAAAAATGAAGGTTCTAAGTTAATTTGTCAATTGGGTGAACCTCCTGTAATAAGAACATATATATAACTCTAATGATCTACCCAATTTTATTAACTTATAAATAATTTTTGCATAAATTAAAAATTTTGAAGACTTAACTAACAATTTTTTAACATCTTAAACATAAACTTGAAATTGAATGAGTAAAACAAGTTTAAGATAGTTAAAAACATTTTAGAAATTAAATTAAACATAAAACAATAATAAGAATCGTGCAAAACTCAATATTTGTGAAAAAAGATGTCTAGGGTTTCATTTGAGATTAACTTTAAAAAATAATTAATGAGGAAGCAAGGAAGATTAAGCGAGATGATCAGAGTGATGACGATGGCTGAAGGAAAAAAAATAGAGCTCCACAGTGTGGCAGATGGACGATTGGACGATGGGTTTTTGTGATATTTAAGGGATGAGTGATGCTACGATAAATGCTATAGCAATCATGTGTATCCTTCAAGTAATAAAGTAGAATCTATAAAAGCTTTAGATGTCGAACCCACAAAGAGTGTATGTCACAAAATAGTTGTTGCTGGAAAAAAGAAGAGATAAATATTGTGTATTTTAAGAAGGAGATTGAAAGACAACAAGGTAAATAAATCAGAATAATAAAAACAAGGGAATGCTATAGTGAGCAGTGGACCAATCAGATTGATGGACCAAAAAATATTGTTTTTATAGGTAGCTAAAATAATGGTAATGTTGTGTCAATACAATTATGAGTTGTGCACTGATTAACACTTTAATCCTTTCTCAAGAATTAAATACTCAACCAAATGGAATTAACTCTCATCAATACCGTAGATTAAACAGATAACAAACCATAACACTCAGCATCATACATCTCTATACGATATAGTTTACTCTCATAAACATCGATGCTAGAATGAAAGTACAATGCAATCTCAATAAACAACCAAGATAAATATACATGAAGGTGAAATTATCTCTCAAAACATCCATTAAAAATACTCAAATCATAATAATATTGTTTCAGGCAAACTCATAAAGTAGGCATTTCATTGAACACCTTATGTTCAAATCCAAATAACAACATAAAAATAAATAATTCAAACTTAGAAAAATGTCTCCCTTTTTGAAGGAAATAATACTAAGGAAGGCTTGAATCTAGATCGGTCGCCCTGCTGCACAAGTACTCCACGCTGCTGGTACACTGCCTGATGAATGGCTTAAGAGGCCATCGTGATGGTAGGAGAGAAAAATAAAATACGGCTAGGGTTTTTTATGCCTAAAGTGTGTAGAAGATTTTATATTTATAGGCCACCAAAGTTAAACTTTTCACTAATAGAAAAGTTTCTCTTTTTCTGAAAACTCTTTCTTTAAATTCAAATTATAGCCTTTATCCTGTGGCTTTATCAATTCCTAAAATTTCTCTAACAACCTTGTGACGCAGTAGTTTCTGCAGAATCATCTCTGCAATCTAGTCCAACATTGGCATACAACAATGACTACATCATTAACAATGTCACATCATCAGTATATTAATTTGCAACAAAAAATCAAAATCAGCCCAAGTGTCAATAATTCACTCCCAATATGAAAATGATGTAAAATATGCTCAAATAAATCTAAATATGATCCTAAAAATGCCAGAGTGCAAATTTAACCTAAGTATAAAGGATCTCAACTATAACTCTTTTGGAGAGTTATGACTGAGTTCGAACGACTAAGGGAATTTAAGAAATGGATTGGGAAAATATGTTTAAAAACTATTAGAAAATGGTGATCGCGAGACAAATTTCGAAACTTTTTTAGGAGTTTCGAAATTTTATGCATAGTTTTGAAACTTCAAAACACACTATTTTTAAAGTTTCAAAACTAGCATAGGAGTTTCAAAACATCTAGAGAAGAAAACACAATTTTACTAATTTTAAGTCCTAAAATCACCCAAAATAAAATTCTAATAGTATGGAAGCATTAAAAGACTTGAAGGCATATTAGAACAAAAATAAAAGAATATGGCTAAAATTTAGGCACTTTTTCTATATGTATGAACACATACGATCACATTTATGCATTCATAGTCAATTTAAAATAGTGTAAGACAAGTCCAAAATGACATGAAATGACATATATATCCCCCCTTCAATTTTTATATTGGAAAACCATATAAAATTATCCAAGCATATATAATAATCAATTTTAATGTAAAAATCATTTAAAAGAATAAAAAATTCAAAATTTTCGACTAAGGCTTAAGGAATGTTAGAAAGTCCTAACTCTCTCCTATGTGTCCAAGATCTAATTTTATCTAAAGGCTTGGTAAAAATATCAGCTATTTGATACAAAATATCAATATATTCTAGAACTACATCTTCGTTAAGGATGTGGTCTCTAATCAACTAATGCCTAATTTCAATATGTTTAGTTCTAGAGTGTTAGATGGGATTCTTAGTGAGATAAATTGCACTAGTATTGTCACACTTAATTGGAATGGTACCAACAT